TATATTTGTCAAATAACTCTTGTTCCACTTAGTTCCAGGGTGAGAGGGTGAACAAGTCTGTCCCATGTATGTTCCACTTAGTTCCACTTAGTTCCATTTAGAAACACACCAAACATGGGACAAGTGTGTCCTGTCCTGTCCTGTCCCACTCTGTTCCACGTACCAAACGCACCCTTATTGCAGTTTGTCGGTAGTAGACGTTAAAAAAACTACCGGGGGTGAAATGTAATTATCAATTTATTTAGGGTTCAATTTGAAAATTTTAGAAACCGCAATGGGTTTTATTAATCATTCTAAATTCTTTTTTTCAGAGCAAGATTCTCCATTTTCAGAACAAAATGCGTACATTAACTTGTAGTTTATGCATTAAAAGTTGTACATCTATCTGAACTTTACGTCTTCAAAGGTCTGTCCTTAATTATAGTTAAAAACCCCGCTCAAAAAGGGATTATACTCTTTAGTAGGAGTTGATGAGTGGCTCTCTCTCTCTATCTCTCTCTCTCACACACACAACACATACTTACTGTGTGTTCTTCGCTGCGAGTCGAGAATTTCACGAGATTTCTTCTGAAAATTGAGAATTTGAGTTCAATTCCAGTTTGTTGATGCAGATGCAACTCCATATATGACAGGATAGAATGCTTGTGGATTGGAGACGATAGTTTTCGACTTCTATTCGTTTTTTCGATTTCAGCTGAGTAGTTTCCGTTTTTTTCTCTCAGATTAGGATTTGTTATTGTTTTGTTTCGTCGTGAAGAAGATATTGACGGAATTTGAAGTTCTGATGGGGACGTCGGAGCTACACGGGAACAGATTGTCTTAGTGTTCGAAGGTGCGGTAATGTAGTTTCGTTCGGTGGAAGTTCATTTACTTACTGCAATTTTACAAGTTAGTTATGTTAGGTTAAAATGTGTGTGGTAATTTTATATGACAAACAATCATTTGCCGAATGCAATTGACAATTTAGGTATGTTAGGTTGAAATGCCAGTGTAATTTTGTTTGACGAGAAGTTCAATTGCTTCTATCCAAATATCCAATATAATTTTGATGTATCAGGTTATTAACAGAAGTGAAAAGCAAATTATAGGATAATTCATTATTGTATGTATCCAAGTTGATTCGTCTCCTTGCCAATTGGTTTCAAGATACAAGTCCTGAAGATTACTTATATGTAGTCAGACCATAGCAGGATATGATCCATGGGTGACTTACAGAGGTTATAACTTATAACTGTAATTTTGTCTCGCTATTTGGATATTTTTGTTAGAATTTTGTATGTTTTGTGCTTTACACTGCCAATAGGGATTGAGCTGAAAAGAGAAAAAAGTTGGTAGCTGAAAGAAAGGAAAATTAGTTAGGGTGCCATTAGTGGTTGTGTAAACTTGTACTTACAAAAGGAACGTTGTTGATGTAGTAGTTGATTTTTCGGTTCTCATGCATTTGTGTGTTTTTCTTTGTATGGAATTAGGTTACAGAGATAATGTGTTACTTGGTCACTGACAATGTTAATTGCTTTTGAGTGATGGAATCTCAATCAATCACCAGATCCAGCTATCTCAAACTTAATTTACTAGAAGGTGGGAGAACACAAAATGTGAATGTTCTTTGCTTCTTCTGTATTCCATCTTTAATACTCTTTTCACTTTTTTCTCTCTTTTTTCGAACTTTGTTTTTCTTGGTTTTTAAATGTCCTTGGTGTGTATTGTTAAGTGCATCAATTTATCTATATTTTATGAGTCCTTAGCTCGACTGGCAAAACACCAGAGTTCTTAACCTTGGAGTTTGTCTTCTCAACCTTCCTGGACTTAGTCTGGTACTTGGCTTTTTGTAGCGATCAACTATATGAGAACCATGTATATACTCTTGATGTGTTTGAAATCTTTTATATCAAATAATCTGAAGCAGCAGCAGTTTTCATCCTTGCTAGAACCATGCAGTCACGGTTGAAAGTGTACAGTGCATTATGTTCAATAAGTTGCTGCATCTAATGAACATCCTATTCCTATCTAGTTTTCTTCTCTCTTGTCAAACCTTCTAAGCCAAGTTCATTGAAAAGGACCAGTCTTTAGTTTTGGAGCATATTCTTTCTATTCATAATTTGTATTGGGGAATTTTTCATTGGGATAATTGGGTGTATAAAATTGTAAAGGGATATTAGAAAGGTTTCTTTGTCGGTGCTCTTACCGAAGCATGTTTTGGGTAATTAAGGTTTTGGTGTTTGAGTAAAATTTTACCTGTGGTTCGTTCCCTTTACCCAAAAAAAGAGAAAGAAGGTGCTCCTTATATTGTCATTATTTTTCAAATTAATCCATATATACAGCTTGATATGCAGATCTTCTAACTTGGTTCTGTTGTTTATGTGTTGAACCAGGAAAATCACCGACGTACCTCATTATCAAGTTATTACATGTGAATATTTCCCCATGAAACTCTGCTCTCATCAAGTGCTTCAGTCCATCATTGTCATACTTTCCCTGGTGTCTCCTGTGTTCGCTGACTTGAACTCAGATAAACTAGCTCTCCTTGCATTTGCTGATGCTATACCCCATGGTTCAAAGCTCAATTGGAGCAATGCTACTAGTATTTGTAGTTCTTGGCTAGGTATCGTTTGTGCTTCTGATGGCACCGGTGTGTCTGGTGTTCGACTTCCTGCCGTTGGACTCACGGGCCCCATTCCATCCAACACTCTCGGAAAACTAGAAAAACTGGAGGTTCTCAGCCTTAGATTGAATCACCTCAATGGAAAATTACCATCTGATTTACTCTCTCTTCCTTCCCTCCATCATCTTTTCCTTCAACAAAATAACTTCACCAGCAACATTCCAGCCTCCTTTCCTCCCAATATGAGCGTGTTGGATCTCTCATTCAATTCCTTTTCTGGCAACATCCCTGAAACAATCCAGAACTTGACTCAGCTAACTAGATTGAACCTCCAAAATAACTCCCTTTCGGGTTCTATTCCCAATATCACGTTCTCAAGGCTCAAATATCTGAACATAAGCTACAATGATCTCAATGGTAGGATTCCATCTTCCTTCCAAAGTTTCCCAAATTCGTCATTTATGGGGAACTCTTTCTTATGTGGACTACCTCTAAATCCTTGTTCACCAATACTCCCCCCTCCTCCTCCTCCTCCTAATCCTACTCCTCGTCCTTCTTCCCCTGCACCTAGTGTGGGCCCGCAACAAAAAAACTCAAAGAAGCTTCCATTATGGGCTATCATCGCCATAGCGGTTGGAGGTGTAGCACTTATACTTTTGGTTATTATTATTTTTTTCTGCTGTTTGAAGAAAAAGAGAAGGAATACAAGCAGTGTGCGAAAAGGGAAGTCTTCTTCTATTGGTGGAAGGGGTGAGGAGCCTAGGGAAGAATTTGGTGGTGAAGTACAAGAGCCTGAAAATAACAAGATGGTTTTCTTTGAAGGCTGTTCTTATAATTTCGATCTTGAGGACTTATTGCGGGCTTCTGCAGAGGTGCTTGCAAAGGGTAGTTTTGGGACCGCATATAAGGCAACTTTGGAGGAATCGGTAACTGTGGTTGTAAAAAGGTTAAAAGATGTAGTGGTAGGGAAGAAAGAGTTTGAACAGCAAATGGAGATGATAGGGAGAGTTGAGCCACACCCGAATGTTGTGCCTCTTCGTGCTTATTATTACTCGAAAGATGAGAAGCTACTCGTCTACGATTATATCTCAAGAGGCAGCCTGTTGACACTCTTGCATGGTATGTAATTTTCTTTCTTTTCTCCCCTCTTCCCTCTTCCCTCTTCCCTCTCCTCATTCTTCATGTGTTCTTAAGACCAAAGATGCACAAAAAAATCCCAAGTCCAAAGTCCGGCCTGAAAAAGCTCGGGCCTAGTAAGCCTATCCCAGGCCCGGCCTTAAAAGCCCGATCAGGCCAACTTTTTTTCAAGGCCAGGCTAAATCCCGGCTTGAAAAAGAAAAAGAAAACCCGGTTAAGTGTTGACTGAAGAGACTCGATCGAGCCCTCTTTCAACCCCAAAGCCTAGCTAGGCTCAAGCCCGAAAAACCCCAACCTTTTTTATGCTTACTGAAAAACGGGCTTGGAAGGCCTGACCCATGCCTGAAAAAGCCCGGGTTTGTGCTTCTTTACTTAACACATAGCAACCGAGAATAAGGGGTAAAATGCATCAAAAGGCAATGTAACTTGCCTAGAAACAAATAATTTTATTCTCAATTAATGTAACGAAATCTTAAATTTTTTTCTATTTATTATAACGAAGTTTCAAATTTTTATATAACCTGTTAATCTTGCAACATTTGATATCGTGGATATCATGTCTATTATACATGTCACTGCGAATCTCTTTCGTAAACAGGTATCTATGTTATCAAATGTTATAAGATCAGTAGGTTACAAGTCAGAATGGGTACAAATAAAAAAATGTGAAACTTTGTTACATTGATTGAGAAACAAAATATTCTTCACATTAAATAAAAACTAAACCCTTTTATCGCATTTTGGTGCATTTTACCCTGGAATAAAATTGCATATGTAGCGAGCTGTTTATCTTGAAACCAATAATCTTCCATTTAGATATGATTATGTTAAAATGTGCCTGTCATGCTCATGCCTATGCCTGCTATCTATCTACCCTTGATTCTTGAAAAAACTCACTTCGGTGCCGTTTACCAAACGTTTACCTGGGTAAACGCTTACCAAGTCCCTTTACTTTACCGCATGAATATGGCAAGGGCTAATAATCTTACCCGGTAAGAGCAAAGGCAAGAATCGAGTCTTACCCAGTAAGTGAGGACGAGGACTGTTACCATGGTTAGCGCTTACCGGGTAAATTGTTGCATACAATACGTTTTAGTGAATAAAATCTTATCCGGTAAATATTTATAGTGTTGAATTTTACCGGTAAGTGCTTACTCTTTGTCTGTTCTAATACACGCGATTGCTTGATTGCACACACTTTTGCCCTTAGTTTGCTCTCCTTGTTTCTATTACGTAGTAGATCCTACCTGCAGACCCTACTGCACGGATTTTCTGGGGTTGGTTTGGTCTGGTATTAATTTTAATTATATGGATTCGTTGTTGCTAATCCATTGTCCCTCTGCCTAAAAACGTGAAACGGCATTGCAGGAAACCGAGGTGCGGATAGAGCTCTAGTAGATTGGGAAACTAGAGTGAAGATCGCCCTGGGAGCTGCAAGAGGCATCGCCCATATCCATGCTTTCGGTGGCCCTAAGTTCATTCACGGAAACATCAAATCATCGAACGTCCTTATCAACCAAGACGGAGAAGGCTGCATCTCCGATATCGGCTTAGCCCCTCTTGTAAACTTCCCGCCCACCACATCTCGTTACACCGTTGGCTACCGAGCTCCCGAAGTTCTTGATAACCGAAAACACACTCATAAATCCGATGTCTACAGTTTTGGCGTCCTCCTCCTTGAAATGCTCACCGGAAAAAAACCGCTCCAATCTCCGGGTCGAGAAGACATGGTCGACCTCCCGAAGTGGGTCCAGTCGGTGGTGCGGGAGGAATGGACCGCCGAGGTTTTCGATATTGAGCTCATGAAGTTTCAAAACATTGAAGAGGAGATGGTTCAAATGTTGCAGATCGGTATGGCGTGCGTTGTGCTTGCCGCCGATATGCGGCCCACCATCGATGAAGTCGTTAAAATGATCGAAGAAATTCGGTTATCCGACTCCGAAAACCGGCGCTCGTCCGATGAGATCAAACCCAAGGGCGCGAATGGTCGAACCCCTTGATAATTTCACGGTTACTCCTGTAAGTTTATGGCCAAAAAACTCCCATTTTGAAAACCTTCAAACTCAGTTTCCTTTTCTTTCCATTTTTAGGAAGTTGCATTAGGATTAGATTTAGGTTTTGTTTCTCTTAATTTGTTGCAAGATAACAGTTTTCAAGTTGATTGATGATTCTATTTGGTAGCTGTGGCAATTTTATACCAGACAAAACCAGCCAATCTAACTGCATTAATTAAATTGGTATTAATTTAGCTGATATCAATCGGTCAGTAATACTATATCGAATATATAAACTTGGTTTGATACACAGTACTGAAAGTCGTTTACCATGGTATTATCGACTTATTTAACTGTGAATTCTACTCATACCCCCTAATTATTTATTAATTAAATTAATCTATATCTATACTATATTATAAAACATTTGACAAAAACTCTTAAAAACCATTTTTTATGTATAAAGTACTGTTTATTAATGCATGTTACTTAAAACTCAATATTACAAGTAGATTTTGCGTAAGTACAACTTATTAAAGCTTCATATGTGAATTCGTGTAACTAATTGCAGATAAACATAATCAAATACAGGATAAACATCTTACTTTAAATATAAAAAATCTAAAATATAATTAGGATAATCATTGAGTTCTAACAAAATACTTAATTATTATACTTATAAAATGTTATATTATTAAACCAAAAATAAATTATTTCATTATTAAACTTAAATTAAATTATAATAAAAAATAAATTAAAGAAATTACATAAAAAAGAGAATTTTTAAATAGTTGATTTGATATTAACATAGATATATTTTTTTTTCAAATTTATATTTTATTCAAAAATAAAATCATTATTGTTTTTTAAAAACACATAAAATCGTATTATAACATCAACAGAGACAAAAAAAATAAAATAAAACATTAAAATCGAGATGTATCTCGCTGCATTGCGCGAGTACCATTCTAGTTTATTAATTAAATTAATCTATACTATATTATAAAGCATTTGGTAAAAACTCTTAAAAACAACCTTTCGTGCACGAAGTACTGTTTATTAATGCATATTACTTAAAATTCAAGATTACAAATAAATTATGCCTAAGTACAACTTATTAGAGTTCCATGTTTAAATTTATATAACTAACTGCAGATAAACATACTCAAATACAGAATAAACATTTTATTTTAAATATAAAAAAATCTAAAATATAATTAGAATAATCATTTAAATCTAACGGAATGCTTACTTTGATACTAATATCGATATAGTTTTTTTCAAAAGTTTATAATATTTTATTTAAAAATAAAAACATTACCGTTTTCTTAAAACTACATAAAATCGTATTATATCGATATAAATAGAGAATAAAATGAAACGTCGAAATTGGGATGTGTCTCGATGCATTGCACGAATACCCTTCTAGTTAATTATAAAATATAGTTAATGTGAGATAGAGGTTTAAGAGCTATGTATACGTGAGTGAGAGGGTATGAATAGCCACCCTACTCAATTATTTATTAATTAAATCAATTAATTATAGAACACGGTTATTGATTTTTAAGTTTTGTATATCGACTTTTTGTTTCGGTATTTGAGTTGTTTGCAAGTTTTATTTCTTGCAATTAAAAATCCTTAAACATGATATATATTACTTGCAAATTTAAAACGTCACTGAAATTTTGAATAAGAGGTTGTTTGGCAGTTGCTGAATGATTTGGTGCAGAATGATTAAGAGGCTTTCATGATATAGTTCAAAATGAAATATAATTGTTTGGTAACTGTTTACAATAAAATTAGGGCACTGAATGGTTAAGGGAGACTTAGGATACAAAATCATTTAAAGGGTTTTGGAACCATTAAGAGGCTGACTATTTTTTTTGTCAAACAAGATTCATCTCTTAAGGATTCAGAGTCTGTCTCTTAATGGAACTATTAAAAGGTAAACAAACAACCCCTAAATGTGATAAATAACAAAACATATTGTACAGGTTCTGCATTTACACATATAACCAACGATTTTTATTAGTTCTGCCTTTAATCCGTTCATGTTTGTTAACGTTTTTTTAATGGAATTAGACAATTTACAGTTTTATATATTGAAAATGTGTGTTCATATGGATGCATTATAACTTCCATGTGTGGATACTTGATGCTAAAAATTTGAGAGCATGTTTTGCAGAATTAATTTTGGTTTGGTCTCGGGCATGTTGACACCTTAAAGTTAGGGCTGTTTACCAAACACTTATCCGGTAAATGTTTACCGGTAAGATTTAGCATTATTATTTACTTATTGGGTAAGATTTTAGTCCAAAAACGACATGGTATGCAACAATTTACCCGGTAAGCGTTTACCATGGTAAGAGTTGTCGCCCTCACTTATCGGGTAAGACTTTTGGTCCTTGTCTCGCTCTTACCGGGTAAGATTCTTGGTTCTTACCAGGTAAGATTCTTGGTTCTTACCATATTATCTGGTATTACTTGTAAAACCCTCAGTTTTAATATCCATAAAATCAAATATCCATGGGTCTTCTTGTATTACTTGTAAAACCCTCGTTTTTAATCTCGTTTTTACCGGATAAGATTCAATTGGATTTGTGTAGGCATCTCTTTTAATAGTGTTACCAGTCTATAAAACAGCGGCTACGGGGGGTTGTTTATCAAGTATTTATCCTTAAAATAGCAACTATATAGTGTTGTTATCGAGCGCAAGTCCATAGGGGATGATGATTGGTCCCTGTTTCGAAGCATTTCCGAGACTGTTTGAGGTTTGTTTCTGGGATGTCTAAAATCTGTTTACAAACTGATTTCAATTAATCCTTTCGTCTCCGTCTAGAGGGATCCGACAGGGATACATTGTGAGATAGTAGGAGTATTACTTGGGTCTTGGGGTGTCAGTTGAGTTATCATAAAACATTTGCCACATAAATTCATGCTCACATTTATCATATTATCGATTTGTTCAGGTCGATAAATCATCGCTTTGTTTGAGGTTTGTTTCCAGGAACGTTTAAAATCTATTTAACATCATATCATGTACTCGATCAACGAACGAGTATAACACTGCTTTATACTGGTAGGAGGGAGATATTATTTGGGGAATATGGAAATATGGGGTTCGTATTGTCAGTATCATATTCTCAAAAATGATTTATTTAAGTCAAATATAACAGTTAAGAATATTTATTTTTTAAAGATTGAATTACAGTAATGGTCCCTATGGTTTGCTCCAATTTTAGATTTGGGTCCTATGACAAAAATCAACTCAGTATTTAGAGTCAAGCTTATGCCAGATGTTGGTCAGATTTATACAACCCCGAAAGAATACAGTAATTGGGAAACCACACAAGTATACATGTTCTTCCAATATCGTCTTAAAGCAGTTAATAAAGTAAGAATATCATATATCGGTCCACAGGGACAGTAAAAGTACAGATTTTCAACAAATCAAAGTTAAAGTCAGATTTAAGATGGTGAATTCAAAGCAATATTTGTGAACGAGTTAACAACTACTGAAAATGTTAAAAACAGTTAAAAAAAAAAAGCAATGGTGCAAGTTTAGGCTGGAGTTAGCAACTAAGTGCAAGAAACCTTGCTACAACATGACCCAGTGGGATTCTGCAGCAATAATTCTCAACTACCACTATTAGATTTAACGGTCATCTTTCGAGGTTCAGGTTAGACACTTGCTAGCAGGGTTTTAAAATAACACAAATCTGAGCATGGTACTGACCTTACAGTTCTTTCCATATAGTTTGCAAGTTGTGAAGGCTGGTCGTGCTCTTTATAACCATCTGTAATACTCAGTAGTCTAATATTTGCATTGAAAAACAGTTAAGCCCAACTTATCACAGTGGAGTTGATTGCTATCAGCGAAAACAATTATCAACACTCAAACCTTTACTCACACTCACTGCTGGAATTGAAGGCTTTAATGTAAATAACACGAAAGTAACTTGCTGAAAATGTAAATGTGCAGAAAATATAAAGCTGTGAAAGCAGTAACAGTTGCTGCAACAACAAACAGTAACCAAAAGATTAAGAACTTGAAATTAAAGACAATTTAGGGGACATATTGTGAAACATGTAATATCCAAGCAAAAAATCAACTTCTAAGAGTACTAGACCCATGGACGGACCTACAGTGGTGCATACGGTGACACGTGCTACAGTATTATTCCTTCGTCGAAGGGTAAAAAAATTTTAAGTTCGTGAAAGGTGCAACCGTATTAATTTGTTGTGTGTCACAATATGTATTTTGAAACTACAATGAGAATAAGGTTTATTTGGTATTAGTTGGTTTGCAAGGGTTTTATTCCACCCAGACCCAAGTTCGAATCATGTTAGTGTCAGTTTCTTAGTCAAATGGTGACACCGTTTGAAAAAAATTATGTACATTTGTTTCTTATAGTCAAATGGTGCCACCGTTTAATCATAGTTCTAAATCAAATTCAACAACTGGTATGTCCAATAAGTTACTGAAAATATGTTTGGAAGTATATTTTTCTTGGTTTTGAAAAAAATAGGTGTCGTTTTTACAATGAACCGTAAAAATTACAAAAAAAAAAAAAGAGAAAAATAATGTAATTTAAATGAGTGAGATGTACGAGAAAGACATGTAATAGTCGATTCTAAAATAGATACAATTTTAGGAGTCGTTCAAATAGAAGAATCTATTTTATTGTTATTGATGACTGTTATACACTTAGACTTGAGATCACGTAAAACTAATCTGTTTTTGTGAGACCATTTTTTTACATTTGAATCTTCACAACAAAACGTCGTGAAGGTAAACTTCACACTGTTTTTGCTGTGAAAGTTTGGCTTTTTTTTACCTTCACAATATTTTGCTGTGAAGTTTTATGTGTAAAAAAATGATCTCATGGTTTTACGAAAACATCTTGGTCTCGTATGAACTCAATCCTATATGCTTAATTAATAACTTATATACTTTTAAATTATACATTAAATCAAAAATTGTGCATAATTTAATAAAAATAAACCTAATGTTATGTATATAATCAATGTCTCAAAAGTGCAATTTTTTTTAAGGGTGTCTGGGCCAAAGCCCGACTAATCCCCGGCAAATTTGGAGGCTAAACATGGCCTCACTTAAATGTCGCCAACACTCCTCTCACAAGGCTCAAACTCGGGTTCATGACTATGTCATGCCCAAGCCTTTACCACTAGGCTGGAAGGTCTTTGACCAAAAGTGCAATTTTGTTGGCTAAAAGGCGAAGGCGAAGGGTGTTTATTGTTAAATCAGATAAACTACTTAAACTGAAACAGTTTAACAAGACAATCGATCGGAACTTGCTTGGTTCAATCTATTGTCTGTAGTGCTAAGGGGCCGTTTACCAAACGCTTACACATATAATTACTTATCGAAAAATTCAATACTATCATTTACTTAGCGGTTAAGATTTTAGTCCACCAAAACGGTATCGTATACAATAATATACCCGGTAAACGTTAACCATGGTAAGAGTCGTCGTCTGATCCAATAGTGTTCCGTTAGATAGGAACATATTTGTCAGTTTCGAGAATATCCCCATTCATAGGTTCGAGATCTACATGACGGGTTAGTGTGAGCTTATCCATGTGGTTATGCACTCTTCGAATAGGAATCCATTTTCTGAAAGCGGTACATTCCAAAATAACCGGTATTTGCAAACGAATCATACTTTTACCACTAAACTATACCCGCTACAATAGTCCCGCAACGAGCGCAACCCTCGTGTTTAGTTGCCACTGATCGAGCGCTCTTGCGCCGAAGATGAACGGGGCTAAGCGATCTGTTCACTTACCGGGTAAGATTATTGGTTCTTTCCATATTTATCCGTAAGATTAATATAACTTCATAAACACTTACCAGATAAATGTTTGATAAACGACCCATAAACCTGTTATTTCTACCAAGTTGTATATATTAATAACATGCTAAATTTCTAATAAATTTTAGGAGTGAGCATGTGGTCTCATCAGGGCCGTCCCTGGGGGAGGGCAACACGGGCGCACGCCTAGGGCCCAAAAATATCAGGGGCCCAAAATTTTCTATTAAAATATAATAGTAGTCTAAAAGAATTTAATAAATTAAAGAAACCCAAAATATTGTAGCATATAATAAGAGGAAAAAAGAATTTAGTAGACAATAAGGGCCCAAAAATATATCAACTAATTACATTGAAGAAGAAAATAAAAAAAATAATTGGTAATTCGTTATATGTTATTGTTTATTGTCTCTCTAATTTTTTATTTATCTCCAACAAGGTCCAATGATATTGGTTATTGCTATCTTTATATGTTTGAGTGTTTTCGTGCTTCAACAATTCAACGTTAAGATCATGTGCTTGTTATTGCTATATATTTTTGTTGGATATTTTTATCAATTTCTACTTCCATCAACTATTGTTATTTGGTTATGTTGTTCTTATTGTTTTTGTTGACTATTGTTATCTATTTTTGCTTCTACATAAAATATTTTACTATTATTTGACGATAAATCTATTGTTCTTATAATTTATGACGTGTTTCATGGTTTTGTGATTAATCAATAATTTTTATTTCCACAAGATGTATTTAGTAATTTCTCTTATATATGTCATGTTCCAAAACTTTTAATCTAACATCTTATTTTAGTTAAACAAAAAAAAGGAAACTAGAATTTAAATGTTTTTATCAATTGTTTGACTTATGTATCTTCCATTGGGATTCCACCACAACACAATATTCTATTTAAGTGCCTAAACAATCATTTGTTGAGCTTGCATGTTATATCTTTAATTCATTATTTATTCTTATTGTATCGTAATGGATCATCTTTTCTTTCATATTCTTATTGATCTTCATTTGTCTACTTGTCTAGAAAAATTTGATAGTTTTCTTTATTATTGATATCTCATTGACCCTCACAATTACTTCATTCACACGAATTCTCTTTTTGTATCAAAATAACACATACTTCTTATTATGAACTAAAAAAATTCTTATTTCTTATAAAACTTTATCAACCACAGTTTATATACTTTTGGTTTCAAATAACATACTAAGAAATACGTAAATTTAAGTACTCTCTTATATATCTATAACAAAAATAAATAAAATTTTATTTTCTTAGTAAATTATTAGCATTTCTGGTACTCAATTTTATACTAATGAAAAACATTTATTGAATTTTTTTCGTATTTATTGAGGGTCACTATAAGAAAAATGAGCTTTGACGATGCGCCTTTTAGCGATGACATGTTTCCACCACAAGTTATAACAACGACATGTTGTTATTAGGGGTGAGCAGCGGAATCGGGTACCCGTTTGCAGAACCAGAACCGCCTTGGAACCGCCGGTTTCGGAACCGGAACCGCCTTGGAACCGCCGGTTTCGGAACCGGAACCGATATGAGTGGTTCCGGTTCCGGTTCCTAAAATACGGAACCGATTGAGAACGGTTCCGGTTCTCAGTTTTTCGGAACCGTTACCCGCGGGGTACCCGGAACCGGCGGTTGTTTTTCAATAAAAAAATAATTGCTTTTTTTCAATACCAAATTTATATTAAGTTACATCTTCAAATGACGCGGACCACGCGGTCATCTTCATTCTTCATCTACTTTCTAGTTCTACTAAACTACAGTTCGTAGTATGTAATCGTTAAGTTTTGAACATTTACAATTATAGTATATAATCGTTAAATTTTGAATATTTTCTATTAGTCTATTATGTTTTGTAATCGTTAAAACAATATTTGTAATCATTATTCCGTATAATTTGTATTCTTGTTTATTTAATTTAGTGTTTTGGCAATATTTTATTTTTATTTCTAAATAACAAAATTTTAATATTTTAGGAAGCGGGTACCCGGAACCGGAACCGGTTCCCGGCGGTTCCGGTTCCGGTTCTAAAAAATTCAAGAACCGCTCTAACCGCTCTAACCAGTTCCGGTTCCGGTTCCAATATCTCAAGAACCGCCGGTTCCGGTTCCGGTTCCTGTAAAAAAGGGCGGATACCCGCATATGCTCACCCCTAGTTGTTATATACTCTTTTTGATGATAAATGAACTTTTAGCGACGATAAAAATCGTTGCTAAAAGCTTTGTTTTTTGCGGTGGACCCTGTTTTTACGTTCGCCCAGGACCTATAAAATGTCAAGAACGAGCCTGGGTCCCATATATTAATAATGCTTGTTTTTAATGCCAATGATTTGAATCAGGGCCCTTTCATTTTATGATATTTAACATGAATTAATGGTCAGCTTTCTACCTCTGAAAATTATTGGTTACTAAAAGGTACTCGTGTAATACAGTGAGATACATATTTATTTTAATGTTTCGTTTTATTTTTTTATCTTTGTTGATATAATACAGTTTATGTAGTTTTGAGAAAGATAATCTTTTTTACTTTTGAATAAAAATAAATTTGAAGACATCATAAATTTTTTTTTTGAATATGTCGATATTAATATCAAATTAACTATTTAAAAGTTTCTTGTTTTTTATATAATTTTTTTATTATAATTTTATTTAGGTCAAATAGTGAAGTAATTTATTTTTTGCTTAATAATAATTTTTTTCTAAGGATAATGATTATGTTAGAACTCAGTAATTATCTTAATTATATTTTAGATTTTTTATATTTTAAATTGAGATGTTTATCCTCTATTTGATTATGTTTATTCGCAGTTAGTTACACGAATTCAAAAATAGAACTTTTATAAGTTGTACTTATGCATAATTTACTTGTAATCTTGAATTTTAAGTAATATGCATTAATATAAAGTACTTTATGCATAAAAAATGGCTTTTAAGAGTTTTTGTCAAATGCTTTATAATATAGTATATATATTTATTTTGTATATGAAAACCAAAGAAACAGATCAAAATTCTGCTAATTAAGGGGCCGTTTACCTAAATGCTTACCCGAATTAGAGAAATATAGCATTGCCCTACTTATGTTTAATTAGCTTGTGATTTTGAATTTGAAGTAATATGCATTAATAAATTGTACTTGATGTATAAAAAGTAGTTTTTAAGAATTTACTTTAAATGCTTTATGATATAATACTAGTTGTGTACCCGCCGCATTAGCCGTGAATTTTAACGATTTTGAAGTTTCACTGATTTTATTAGAGAAAATTAAATGATAATATAAGTTACACTTGGTCTTTACAAACGAAGGTGTCAGTTGCTGAAATAGTGATATTTTAAAAATCTACTTTTAAAAACGGTCATCACATAAAAAGTAAAAGGGGCTGTGTGCAATATAACCCAAATAAGGAGGGCCAAATTTGTAAATTTAGGGCGGAAAAAGGTAAATAGCGTGAGAAAAAGGTGACGATACCCTGCGTTTATTCCACGCCAACTGTGCGCCCACCCATTCCCCAATTTCCTACACATAAATACATAAATAAATCAAAACCCTAGCATTTCAATTTCCTTACGATTGGCTCTAAATCTGCCCTCATATCTATCCGAATTCAACACTTTTGCTTCGACTTCACCTCTCATCGATCAGGTATTACTCTTACATGAATCTTTGTTTGGATTTTGATTATTAGCTTGTACGAAGAACAAAGTGGTGTAGATCTTTGATTGTTGATTGTTTTTGTGTATGCTTCTAGTTGTTAAACTCAGATTTGTTTCTTTGAATCAGGTTTTGTCTAGACGGTTTTTTTTGGGTTTGTTGTTGTGCTCTCACGATCTGCTTTTACGTCGGCGTGAGAGATAAGGTAGGAATTGTAGCTTGTTCTGGCGATGGCGTCGAAGCGTATCTTGAAGGAGCTTAAGGATTTGCAGAAGGACCCTCCTACGTCATGCAGCGCCGGTAAAATTAGTCGCAACTATTTCTCATGTTGTTTGATTTATGATGCGGGGTGGAAATATGCCTTGTTTGCATTTGTTTAACACACTAAATCTATTGATTTTTGTGAATTATCGTCGCTAATTTAATTTATGGAACCTATTTAGGAACTCGTTAATTGCCTGTTTGAATAAGAGTAGAATTTGGGGGAACAACCTGATGGGTGTTTGCTAGGTCTAGAGGAACATTGGTTAGTTCATTGAGGATTTGGATCGGGGTTACATGCTAAAAACATGTATGTTCTTTCTTTGTGTACGACCATCGAAGTATCATTTGTCCCAGCTCATCTGTCATGTGCCATTAACGAGAATGGGAATTCGTTTATATTCTCTTAGATCAAAGGCATTGCGCATCTTTCTTTGTCCCAGCTCATCTGTCATGTACGTTTTTTATCTGCCTAACTCATCATTCTGTGAAGGGTAACTTTGTCATGGTTGATTCATCTTGCTGCTAGTATCTTTAATTGGTCTTTATGTGACCGCAAATTAATCCATGGCTACAGTCGTTGGCAGTCTTTTATTTTTAACGAGTATGATGGATCCTTTTTTAATATGCTAGATAGATGCTGGTGATGTTTTTGCATCACCTTCCTACATAGAGCCTTTTTGGCAACTTGCTTGGTGAGTTGGTTTATTGATAACTGAAGATGCTAATTGAGTAATGCGAACTCATCGCCTCCTCCTGTAATTGTTGTGTTTTGTGCATGGTATTACTCTCTTCAGAATATGTTACCAAGGTGTATCTTTTTCTTTGTAGGTCCTGTTGCCGAAGATATGTTTCACTGGCAAGCAACAATTATGGGACCCTCTGATAGCCCATACTCTGGAGGCGTATTTCTTGTTTCAATTCATTTCCCTCCTGATTATCCTTTCAAGCCACCCAAGGTAATTTTGCTTCGTGTGATAGCAATTTTGTTTCTTGGCTTTGTATTTTTAGTAGCGTTAATTGTCCAATTTGGTAGAGAGATCCATTAAGATGCATTGTCTGAAAATAGCAAAGATGAAAGAATATCAAATTACTAAGGGCAGGTTTATGAAGAAGATACCAAGAACTAACATGAAAGATCCGGAACCCTTTACTTAAGGCTGGTTTTAATGACTCTCATCCAAGTTCTGTTGTGAGTCACTCTTCTATAATCAAGCCTGGGCAACATAATGGTGTCCTACTCCTTCCTTCTTTCGTACCCTGACTGATCCAATTTAGGTAGATTATTTTGTAAAAAAATAATACATTTTATACTAGGGTTTGCTAACAAAACTAAGGTGATCAGTCTAGTTCAGATTTCAGAGTATCTGTTTGAATGGCCGAATATGTGAGTGAAAAGAGGGGACAGAAAATGGATGGCGGAATCATGTGAGGCTTGTTTTGAAGAAGGATATTTTTTTTAATTGTAATTAAGTTGTTAACATTGATTAGTTCACTACTGTGTTGACAAGGTTCATTTAACCGAGGGGTCGTCACATGTTTATCCCTGTAATTCATAATTTTTCTTTGCCCTTGTCAGTTTTAGTCAAACCTTAGATGTCTAAGGTATGCCTATCGTTGTGGTTTAAGGTAGAAGCACTTCTATAATTGCGAATCTGTATCTTAGGAATCTAGTACAATTTTTTTCTACGATGGATGGAATATGACTTACTTTTATCATTATCTTCACCCTTGTTGAGACTTACGTTGTTTGATTGGTGCTTGAAAAGTTGTGATGTTATTTCCTTCATCGTAGTCCTTGTTTTTGAACTCTGTGAGATATAACTAGGGTAATCCTTCTGGCTCCATGACACGCACAATTCTTTTCTTTGTACTGATATGTGTAAGAGTTTGGATAACTGAGCTATGTTGATGCACAGGTTGCGTTTAGGACCAAGGTCTTCCACCCAAACATCAACAGCAATGGTAGCATTTGCTTAGATATCCTGAAGGAGCAATGGAGCCCAGCTTTAACAATCTCTAAGGTTTGTTCTTTTTCACAAGCTAGGTTTTTTTTTTTTTTTCTGAATTTGTCGTTTTGCTTCAAATGCATTTATGTACTTTGGTTCTGCTCCCTCATCTTAGATGATCCATTCGGCTTTTTGTTTGTTCCAAATTAGATATTGGTTTGGGTTTTTAATGGTGTAGCCAATATTTACATCCCTTTTTGTGTTTGTTTAAATGTTTAGTAATGGCAATTTGATGCATTTTGTTGCTAAATTTTTTCTCATGACAAGTATTGTCCAAGCATATTATCCATCAAATTTCTCATGGAACCCATTATGTTTCAATACAATCTATCAACACATCGTTCTTTTATATGGGTATCGATAAAATGGAGTCAGTTCTTATGCATTATACGATAGTGATGATTTCTGGTAATTTACACATCGACACAAAAAACTCTTGAATTTTATAATCAAAATCATTTTCTTTTAGACGATGGGATTATCTAATGCCAACCAAAAACTTTCCTCGCATAACTTTGTATTATGTCGAAAATTGAAATGTAGAAGTCTTTAAGTTTCCAGCTTTTGGAACACCATAACATCTAAAATTGAAAATCGAATATTTTAATAATATAGTCTATGTTGAAATCTTCAAAATGGAGAACCTGTTCAAGATGAATATTATTTTCTTCGGAGATTTTTAATTTTCCGTTCACCCTTTAGGTGCTCTAAGCTTGTTTATGGATGTAAAGTTTAACCAGCGGCATTGTGATTTTGCAGGTGTTGCTTTCCATCTGTTCCCTGTTAACCGACCCAAACCCTGATGACCCTTTGGTGCCGGAAATCGCTCACATGTACAAGACTGATAAGTCAAAATACGAGGCGACTGCTCGTAGCTGGACACAGAAGTACGCAATGGGGTGAGATCGATTGCATCATATCATAATATCATGTGTTGGTTGGGTGGTTTTTTCATAATAAAAATTGTTGGTAAGACCTCTCTCTGTCTCTCTCCGTTTTTATTCTTCAAAGTGTTTGTTAAGAAGCTTGGCAAATGGCATATTGAATGAAACTCAATTTGTGTATATTTGATTTGATTCTGAAGAAGAAAAAGGGAAAAAAAATCGTATTGTAATGGTCAAGATATTTGCCTTTGTGGGTCCCTCTTGTTTAATGGATTAGAAACTTATCTAGCTATTTTAAGGGCTCGCTTGGTACCCGACTGGACTGCGTGAGCGGGTTTTAGGGTTTAATTTGATGTGGGTAGTTTAGTAATTTGCTAATCTTGTCTCGTTTACTTAGACTTTTGTTTCATCTGTTTTCGTGGGATAAAGGAAATATGTTTTTGTTGCGTTTGGTTCTAGTGTGTGCTGGTCTAAGGCCCTATTTGTTGACAACTTAGTGAACTTAACTCACACCTAAAGCTGTTTGGTAGTGGCTTGATGATATAGAAAGTGACTTGTTCAGTAAGCTTCTAGAGGGGAGCTTAATGCAGAAAGCCAAGTTTTTTTTTCTCTCCAAATATGTTGTCCAATCTAAACAGATTAATCCACATAGACAATTATTGGGAAAATCAATCAAGAGCTCATAAATGTTGTATCAAATATGGGGCAACAAAGTGTTTATTTTGTTGTGTCTCGCATGCAAGGGGTGTGTCTGGTTTGTGGATGCATGGGAATCATCGGATTGGATTGGACAAGCGAAAATGAGGTAGGCGGGCGAATGGATTTACGAATTTCAGGGTTTTAATTTGGAATGAGTAGTTTAGTCGTTTACCAAACATTTTTGTTTCTTCTATTTTAGTAGACGACTGCAATTTTGTTTTGTAGTCTCTGTCTAGTTCTAGTCTAATTGTCACGTTCAACATCTGACGTCTTCTTGTTTTGTATTGTCCTACGTATCAAATGCACCAACAAGCAAGTTGTCCAATGCATTTCGTTATTAGTGTATGATATGAAAATGACGTGATTTGGGCAAAAAATTGATCACAAACAACCTCAATCGAATATAATTTGGGTTAACATGTGATTTTATATTGCGAAAATGTTAGATGTGATATGAAAGAAGGGATTATAGAAAAGTACCAAAAATAAGCGATGTAAAAAGCAATTGAGCGACTTCTTGTTTATTGACGAACACAAAGATATTAAGATGTTTAAATGCCAAAATTGTCCCTGAAAACATCGTTCCAACGATATCCACCAAACGTTGTTGGTAAAAATGAAATCAACTATTTTGAATCAAGATATCAAATCTCGACGAAAGATCATGTGGGAAGGAGAGTTAAGATGAGAAGTATAAGAATGGATCTAGACCCTTCGTTATCTTTAAACTCAAACGCATTAATGAATCGTGTTTGATCCTGAGAAAGATTCTTTCTTATGTTTCTTGTCTTAACTATCTTTCTCACTGGAACCCATATATATATATATAGAGAGAGAGAGAGAGAGAGAGAGGTTGGTTCAAATACTAACCCATTTTTTTGTGTTAACTATGCTAACCAACATCAACCAATCATGTTCAATCTTTTAGTTAGGTTCAAATGTAACTCACATAACATCAAAGTCCATATCTACAGTGAATTTTAAAGGTTGCATAAACCAGACAACAACTGACAAACATCTGAATATATATAACTAAAATACATTAACTAATTCATTTTTAACATATTCAAAATTTCAACTAAAATACGTCAATTAATTCAAACATAACACAAAATATGAACAAAACCTCAATAATTTTTTATTAACTATCTGCAAAGCAGGTAGTCATCCTAAGATTAAACGGTTCGCATAATGAGTTGGATATCCAGATTAATAAAAAAAAGAGCAAATGGTTTTAGATTCAAAAATCCACAAAACCAACTTCCACAACTCAAATTAGCCTCCAATTTCAAAAGGGATGACTACAAAGATGCCTATTACCCCTAAAACAAAGCACCCAATAGCATTTGGAGAACCAAAAATAGGGATGTAGGGGTGGAGTTTTTTCCATAACCCGGAATAACTGGTTTTTCTGAAAAATTGGAAAACGAAACAGTTTAAATGGTCTCATGTCTTATCGAATCAGATATGAGAGATTGATAAAACGTTTTAAAAAACAAACAAGGCCTGAATATAGTCACAGGATAATACATTATACACTTCATTTTTTTAAAAAGATCAGATTATCTTTATTTTACGGTTTCTTATGATTTAGGGTTTAGCATAATCTCATCGATAAGACGTTTTATGGGTCATTTACCAAACACTTACGTGGGTAACCGTTTACCAAGTTACGTTACCTCACCTCACCGGATGAATATGGTAAGGACGAAGAATCTTACCTAATAAGAGCGAACAAGAACCATGAGTCTTAACCGGTAAATGAGGACGACGACTCTTACCATGGTAAGCGCTTACTGGGTAAATTGTTGTATATAATGTTGTTTTGCTGGACTAAGATATTATCCGCTAAGTAAATAATAGTGTTAAATTTTACCAGTAAACATTTACTGGATAAGTGTTTGATAAACCACCCTTTAGTATCAATTAATGACTAGTTTTATACTTACATGGACCATTTTCATTTTTTGAAATTTAGTTATTTTAAGAAATAACAATAATTGGTATTTAACATAGCGGTGGAAAATAGTTATTTTAATGAAAATGATTGGTCAAAATTGAGTAGATTTATGACGTCATGGTGATGTCATTGAACCGTAACTTTCGGCGGGTGCTGATAAAGATTTGGTGGATTTTGTAGCTGAACTCCATTTCTTCAAGTTTATCCTCAATATATCTTCAATCACCGCTGTCTAGTGGAACACGTCATCGATCCTCCACGTCATCGATCCTCCAGCTCAGCAACGCTCCATTTTCGATTGGAAGAATAAAAACCAGTATCAAAATTATATAACATTTAAACATTACCGTATTTTCAACGCATTAAATTAATAACTTGTATAAAACTTTATAATAAAAGTTTTTAAAATTATTTATTTTTTGTGTTTTATGTATAATATTAGTTTATATAAATATATATATATATATATAAATGCGTTATTATGCAATAATTTACATTTGTACAACAAATACAAGTCAATTTCAATTGTCCATTTAATTTGATGAATATGTGATTTCATAAAAGTTTTGATTATTTTCTAATATAAAGTATTGATCATAATTAATGAATCATAATTATCTTTCATAAATATTCAAATAATAATAAATGAACTATCATCATTTCCATAAATATCTCAATTTTTTGATTGAGTTGTGTTGGTTGTACAAATAATATATATATATATATATATATATTATATGGTTGGGTTCACGTGAGAACAAGTGTTTTTTCGTGAGACCCGTAAGAGCAATTTATGTTCATTGATCAACTTTATAAACTAATAATCTAATGGTCTAAAGTTGCACGGTAACAATCTTGTAATTATTGAGAAGTCTCGTGACAATTTTGTGACTATGAATATTCATATTGTAAATCTAATCCAAATGTTGAGAATTGGTCTTACGGGTCTCACGAAAAACTCTTAGTCTCACATGATCCCAAGTCTATATATATATATATATATATATATATATATATATATATATAGGATATTAATTCCAAAAAATGTATAAAAAACTTATATAATACCATTTCAAATCAAATTTAAGGTAAAAATTCGAGTAATTGTATAAAAACTCATAAAATATGATCTTTCTATAAGAACTCTTTTTTATTGTTTTTTTTTAATAATAATTTACACTTTTTACTTATAGTAGAAACTTCCGGTTAGTAAGAGTATTCTCTAAAATAAAGAAACTGAGGATTTTGGAAAAAATTTGGTTAAAACAGATTCTGTAAAATGGAGAAAGTGTAAATTTTTCCAAATTTAGAGATCTCTTAGAAAATGATTACCAGAAAAAGACGAATTTTTATTAGATTTTACGAATAGATAACCTTAAAATGAAATGTTTATGAGAAAGAAACAGAGAAATTAATTAAAATAGTCATTTTCGGATKTTGATTTACTCTCTTAGTTATTTCTCTCTTAAAATCACTAAAATGATACTACATTCAAAAGTGGCAGTCTGCAACTTACAGAGAGGTCAAAATGTATAAAAAGAAAGTATCAAAACCAAGTTCGTAAATGCAGGGACCAAATCTATAAATTAGTCCTAACACCCCCTCCGAGTGGCGAAAGTGGCACTTACAGACCTGTATCTATTTTACAAATTTGGTGTGGACATATATGTGTCTTTCATCTCGTACAGTTTAAGCAAAACACACCAAATACTTTAGAAACTTCATTTTTTTACTCCTTGACCACTTCGTAAATTACAGACCTGTCACTTAAAAAAAAAACTCTCCTCTCTCCTACTTTCTCTATTTTAGAGATAACTTGAAGTAGTTGTTAGAGTAAGAGGTTGTTTGACAGTTACTGAATAGTTGGTTGTAAAATCATTAAATAGTGATAATGATTAAGAGACTTTCATGATATAGTGGATAATGAATATATTTGTTGGACAATTGTTTATAATGAAATTAGGGCACTGAATGGTTAAGTAAAACCCAATATACAAAATCATTCATAGGGTTTTAAAAATCATTAAGAGACAAACTTTTTTTTTACCAAACAAGATTCATCTCTCTTAACGATTCAGATATTACCTCTTAATGAAACTATTAAAAAATAAACAAACAACATCTAAAATATTAATACAAAATCCTATTTTTTTCTCATTTAAAAAAATCTCATAGAAATGCTCCAAACACAAAGCAATGATAAGATGACTAAAAAGTCAACGGGGTGGGGGGTCTTGGTCTTGTGTTGTTATTAAATCATATTCTCAAGTCTTTGTTTAACGTCAATTCTAGTTTTGTCCATTTGCCACTATTTTCGACATATTATTATTATATCTATATTGATGACGTCAGCATAGATACGTGTATTCCAAGTTATAAATATATTTTTTTTAATAAAATAAATTCACAAATCTGTCTTTTTATTTAATTATCAGTGGTAGATTTTGAAATCGAAACTTACCTTATTTAGTTAACTAAACAGTTAATCCCACAAACTAGAGATGCTATAAAATCCGACCAATCCGATTAACCCCATCAACCAAACCCAAACCCAAACCCAAAGCGAAATAATGCAATCTGATGTATAATTGAGTTGTAAAATTTTTAAACCGTAGTTATTTGGTTGATATTGA